TTGATCAACAAATGTTCGATTATTTCTCAATTCTCATAGGTAAAATCAGTTCTTATGAAGGGCCTAGCTAAATGTGTGTAATTGAGCAAATACATGGTCAATTAGTGAATATTAAAATTCAATGAGTTCGTATATGCACATAGGAAACTATGATTGAAAGGGGCTAAAAAATAAAACAATGACAATAACTCTATTAATTTCCCATAATACTGTTATCGAAGTCAAGCCAAAATGGCTGAATTGCAATAAATTGGATTGTAGGTTCTCTCAAATTCTGTAAAGTTATTTCGTAACGTAAAGATTCTACTGAAAAAATGTTATATTCAACGGAAATTGTATGTAAGATTTGAAAGAAGAATTTACACAAACATTCAAAATTCATGGAGGAAGAGCGAGTATCCTTATTCATTGTAGACACGTTTAAGAGTGACTAACGATAGAAAATTAACAAAAAGAAACTCGACTTAGTGTAATACACTCCTAGAGTTAACTCTATGCCACGCAAGAAGTATCGAGCCCGATGGACGTGGGTGGAATGTCTCATTAAAGAAAAATCTACTTTCGGGTTGAATCTAAACTCCTGTTTGGCCCAATTTTTTAAACTCATTTTTTAAAATTTATTTTTAATCACACATTTTATAAACTTCACATCTTTTATCAAATTTTCAATCATATAATATCACTAACATGGGCTTAATTACAAGCCCTGTCACGGACGCAATGACGCGCAAATAAATGCCCCAATCTGTGTATATATGACGAGAAAATATCTATTTCTTGTATTTAATACTGGAGGGCCAGAAATTGTGACACACTCCTTGGGCGGCCGATCGTAAAATATTATACTTTTTCCTCATTCATCAATCTTTCTCAAGAAAAAGGAAGTGATTCTTGCCGCTTTCACTCGGGTAAATTCCTCCATATCTGATTGTTGTCTTGCATAAGTTGTATGTGCGTATATGTGCTTTTTTGGACCCGAGTTAATTGGTTTTGATTTGTCTGTACAGTAATTAATTTTGACTATAATTTGTGGATCTAGGGTTTTGATGTTGTTTTCATGATTGATTTGGTGATATGAGTTGGGTTTATTTTTGTTGTAGTGGAGTTTTGTTATATTTATTTATTATTGTTTCTTTTTGGTGGAATTGGGAATTGGAAAAACGTGGATTTTAATAGGAAGGTTGATTGTAGGCGGTGAGGATGTCGACGCCATCGAGGAAAAGGTTGATGAGGGATTTCAAGCGATTGCAGCAGGACCCTCCGGCCGGCATCAGTGGCGCGCCATATGATAATAACATCATGCTCTGGAACGCCGTTATTTTTGGGTATGTTCTGTGACTGTAGTACGTGCCATTAGTGATACATTGAAGTTTAATTTTTTGCTGATTCTTTGCTGTTTCGTAATTGCAGCCCTGATGACACTCCTTGGGACGGAGGTGAGACAATTCTTTCACTAAAAATTTAGTTATGTGTTGATTTCAATGATAATTGGTGCATTTTTTGATTGTTTCAGTTTCACCCCAGGTGGCTCTAACTTTTAACCCTGCATTTGTCAGAAGTAATTTTTATTAGGTTAGGGTTCATAATAGATTTAGACTTCTGTACTAGATTTATGGGTAAGAAGTCTTTTTGGTGCTTTTGTGATATTGACAAGGCCTCATATAAGAGAGAGAGAGACACTTGAATGAATTAGGATGTACATTCCACATGATCTACATTGGGATTTTATCTACCATTTTTAGTAAGAATAAAGGTTTTTATATTGGATGTATTGCTGTTCGTGGCAGTCGTTAAATCACTGTTGATTATTTTTACTTAGCAGCTGATGATTTTCTTTTATTATCGATTCTATGTTGGAGTATTGAATTTTCTCTGAGTGGGTCAATTCAGTGCCTAACAAGGACACAAAAAGACTCACGTTTGAAATATGCGGATCTGCCCTGTATAGCACGGTAAGCAACAGGCTCTTATTTTACACGAGGATATTAAACAAAGACTACAGCCACATACTTTGTTTCTTACATGACAAGGGTAGAATGTCTTCTTTCCGTTTGCTTATATTTATGCTCTTATGTTGTGCCGAGGTGAGATTTTCTTCTAGATGATGGTCACTTAATGAATATTTTTGTGTAAATTCTCACCATATTATAGAATCTTTTGATTTCACACTCGTGAGAAATTTGAACAGTTTCTGCTTTGGTCTTTGTAATGTGCTGCTCTTCTCATATTTCCTTTTCCTTTTCATTATGGACTGAATAATGTTCCATTCTTTCCATTCCTGGGAAATTAATGGTTTGTTTACTGGGCATATTACTGTTTGCTTTTAGGTACATTTAAGTTGACACTTCAATTCTCTGAGGATTACCCAAACAAGCCGCCAACAGTGCGATTCATCTCCCGAATGTTCCATCCGAATAGTATGTATCTCAAGATCTGTTACGTCTATTTGCTCATATAATCATGTTCAAGACGTATGGAATTTATGATTGCAATCTGTCTCTTTACTTTTTCATACTTGTCTAAGATGCATCAATACGGCACCAACATGCCCCCAATTCATGTTGGGGCTTGTTAGTATGTGTTTGGAAAAATAAAGAAAAAGAAAAACTAACCATAAGGGCATGCTTGCCACTTTTTCCCCACTGACATCGACTGTTTTAGGATGACACTGTTTATGAGAGGTTGGAAACTAGTGCTTGTTATTTTGCAATCAGTGTAGTGTAATTTGGATTGTATTTCTCAACCCATCAAATCGGTGGTTTTTAACCTTTTCAAATTTTCTTTCAATTTTATCTTCTAAAATAATTATTTACAATTGACATAGTTTGTTCAAAACTGTTGGATGCATCTCTCAAGGAGTATTTTAATTAAAGAATTACTTAAAAGTTATACGTAAAAAATCCTTATAAACAGAAGATACAATAACTAAAATATTTACTTATAAGCAAAAAAATTACTTATCAGACAAAATTTCACTTTTATCGTAATTGCTTATTAAGTAAAAAAAAAAAAAACTACAAATAAGAAAAAAAATTACTTACAAAATATAAGAAGCTATTTGTAAGTAAAGAATTCAGTTGTGCAAAAAAGTTACTTGTAAGTACAAAATCAACTTATACTATAAAATTTATTTGTAAGTAAAAAATTGCTTATAACTTAAAAATTTGTTTATAATTAGATATTTCACTTTTAAGTTAAAAATTAACTTATATGAAAAAAAATACATATAAGTAAACATCGCTTATGAATTAAAAAACGAATGTTATCTCTTAACAAGTTTTTAGCAGAAAAATGTTAGATGTACTTATGGAAATTACCTTCACAGTTAACTACTTTCATTTTTCTTCATTTTATAATTCAATAGAAAATGATTAGCATTCAAGAGCTTATTCAAAGCAACAATAATTAGTCTAAAAGTTAGTCCATACACAATATAAAATGACTTGATAACCTATATATAGAGTACTCTGCTACTTGGCCAGGGCCACATGGAAAAGCAGAATAGTCCTATAAAGATGTATTGAATTGTTAGGAGTGACGTACAAATTTACTCTATTGGTCACACATACCTACATTTTTTTATATATGAGCTTATATATAATTTTTTCCTTTTAAAATTTTTTGAAACTGCTAGACAATAGACTCCAAGCACCGGTTGAATTGTTTTAAAGATCCCTACAAAGACATTGAAAATGGAAACCCTCTTAAAACCCTTGAGACCAATACTTTAAAAAATCCTCATAATTGATAGCTAAAACTCCCAAGCACACCCTAAAAGGACAATTTTGTTGGTTTTCACTAAGAAGCGCTGATAGTTTTAAACTCGTTACGTCCTTGTATTCAATACGTATCCAAACTCCGATACGTACCGGATACTTTCTTTTATAATTATTTTATATATTTTTATATTTTCAATACGTATTTTTTTAATTATTTTATATATTTGTATGATTTTCGATACATATCCGATATGTAGTGTTTAAATTATTTTAATAACTTATTGAATCAATAATATTTATTGAAAATACACAATTAGAGATTTAAAATTAATAATTAGACTTTTTATTGGAAATGCACAATATTATTAATCTTTCAATACATGTGAAACCGTGTTATAGTTGACAAATATATTTTTATTATTGGAAATAGATAGTGACTATTATATATTAAATAATACGAGGAAAATCGTGTTATATTAATTCTATTATTGAAAATAGATAATGATTTAAAATATGTAAAACCGTGCTAATAAATTGCTTTAATATTTTATTTTTATTATCATGCTTTTGTATTAATATTTTTTATATTAGTGAAATTATGTTGAATTTTATAAAACATACCGACGTATCCTAACTTTTTTAAAAAAGTCGTATCGGCGTATCTGAATTACGTATCTGTATTCGTGCTTCTTAGTTTGTGCGCTTGTCTGACTAGATTTCAACGGTAAGGTATCTTTTAATCGATGGGTCCCCAAACTAGTTTGGGAAGATATAGTTGTTTAATAGACCATAAAACACGATTTGGTGTTTTTGAACAATTTTTAAATTTTTTAGAATAAAAAATAGGTAAAGATTTGTGTTGTAAGTGATCAATTTCTAAGCAAAGATATGTAGAAACTTGTTGCGTACCCATATTCGATATACATCCAAATTTATCGGATGTGTTTTTTAATTTTTAAAATTTTTATTTAATATGTATTGGACAAATTAAAAGACGTGAAGAAAAAAAAAAATTCTCTTTTGAAACTTATTATTATTATTAGCAATATATGGCACAATGTTTCACTTAATAATAACTATTGTATTTGTCAATAACTTATTGACAATAAATACTATATATTAATTAACAATGTCGAATAAAGTAAACGTGTTTTAAGAAAATAGATAACTACATAGTTTACACTTATTTATACTTGATATAAAATGCTTTTGTATTTTATTTTATTTTATTTTTTTCAGGATTTTGTTTTAAGGTCTTTTTATTATAATGAAATTATACTGAATTTTATGATTTAAATTATAAAAAACTCTACACATATATACACGTATTTTGGTATCCTAATTTTTTAAAAAGTTGTATCAACATACCTGTATTTTATTATATTCGAATAACGTAGCCGAATCCATGCTTTTTAGATGAGTTGGTAAATCTTTTTTAAGTGGGTAAAAAGGTTTGTTTATTATTGTTAAAGTGGGTCAACCCTTTTAACAAGCAAAATTTCTATTTTAACATCTCAATAAACTTACTCAAGAAGCTTCCATTTGATCCCATTTCACTTACACCCTTCATCCCATTTCGAGAAAAGGAAAATTCTCATCAAATTTTTATTTCCTTACACTATAAAATAATAATAATAAAAAAATTAATTACCCTGTTGATGGTGTCCAGGTGTCGGTACTTTTCCAAAAAACCGCATGTCGACGTATCTTAAACATGTTTGTATTGGTGCATCATAGCTTTAAAGTGTTCGCATGGAATAGCCAAATAGATCAAGTTTTCTGATTTAGGATAATAAATAGAGAGATTTGTGCTTCTTTTATGTTTGTTTGTGTCTGTTTCTATATATGTGTATCTGGGTTTATGTTATTTTAGAAGAAATAGTATGTTAGAAGAAATAGTATGTGTCTGTAAACAGAAATTATCAAGAACTAATCCTGCTTTACATATAATACACTTGTCTTATTTTAGGAAATTGAGCAGCCTCAGTGCATGATTGTCATTCGTATAAGATTTACTAGATGGCTAAACAAAGATGACGTGCATAGAAGCTCCAAGCAAAGATGATGTGTTAGGATATTGTTCCTCCTATTTATATATTTTAATACATTTTAACACACACAAAATAATGCTTTCTAGACACTTCTTAGGCACGTGTCCAATGCACCAAGTTGTGTGTCCTATGTTTATATATATTTTTAAATTTCTAACTTGCAAGTATCTGTCTTTAAGGGACGTGGCAAGTTCCAATTTTTAAATCAATTTTGGAATAGAAAATGTGGAGCTAAAAGCATTTGCATAAAATAGTAATTGTGTTTGCAATACTGATAAAAAGTTCCACAAATAGCCACTCATACAAAGCCAAAATATTTCACCTATATAATTCAACATCGAAGCTAAAGCTAAATAGATACTATGAAAAATTAAAAAATTGTTAGCTACAAATGCATAATTTTAAATGTGTACTGGTGTTATTGTCCTAAGTTATTGAAACTTCACGTTTGTTGTCTCTCCATCCCATATCCTTATGCGTGCTTCATAGTCCCTGTGATATAGTATTTCCTTTCATTAGCTGGCTCATTTTTACGATTGTATCTCTTCTGCTACAATGGTACTCACTGATTTTTTATCTACGCGTATATTATCTTTGAATTCAATGTACTATGGTGATATTGATGCCATACTCTTTAACTTGTTTTGTTCTTGACCAGTTTATGCAGATGGAAGTATTTGCTTGGATATTCTGCAAAATCAGTGGAGTCCAATATATGATGTGGCAGCTATACTTACATCTATCCAGGTAACATGGGTGATAAATATTGATCTTCTCTCTCTTCTCGCTTACTTATAGTACTATATTAAGAGAACATCGATTAATGCAACCATAATTCTAAAGTAGAATAAAACTATCGATTACTGCTAAGCTAAAATTCAAAAGATTTCTTCATTCTGTATTTAATTGTGAAAAAATGGGTAGATCCAAGAAATTCCCAGAGAAAACAAAGCTGTTGTTGATCCTTGCTCTACTTTAATGGCAGTAAAGCAACAGTGTGTTTTCCATGCTTATTTCTCCACCCTTTAGTTGCTTTTATTGGATGCAAATACATGCTGTCTATTCCCCAGGAAGATGCTCTATATTCTATCATACATACTTCCCACATTACGAAAGCCTTAATGCAGGTTTCAATGTGCTTGTTATGATTTTTAATATAGTCCATTGATCCATGATCCGTTGGAAGCTTCATCTCTTTGGTACAAAGTAATCAAAAGCAAATATGGTTCAGCAGGGTGGTGGTAACTTGAGTACTTGGAAATTTATTTTTCAGTTTATCCCAAGTCACATGTATCTCACTGACGTAGACGTAATGAACAATAATGAGACTTTAGAAGAAAGGGGGAGAGAGAGAGAGAGAGAGAGAGTCCAGAAATATATGAGTTTATTCCATAATCAAGACTAAGTATTACAATGAATAGATCCTCTTTATATAGAGTCTAGGCAAACCTAGTATGAGAGAAATAAAAGGAAATAGAACCTAATTTAAGTTTATAAACAAAACTATAATTCAAGTCAAACTAGAAAGCTATATAATAAACTGAAATAAACTAATCTGAGTTAAACTATCTTAATTCCTAATCTACTAAGGATATTCTTATCTTCATTCCACATCACTCACATTGTTACACCTTTTCATCTCTCTAATCTTATAGTTCCTCAGCCACATCACTCACATTGTTACACCTTTTCATCTCTCTAATCTTATAGTTCCTCAGTCCTTAGATATTGTGTTCATGATAGAGCATTAGTTTTCATGGTTATTTACATTTACCTTGTAATCTTGAAGATAGGGAGGTCGAGCATCTCATGGTTTCAGTTAATCTTCTGGACTCTTTCCTTCCTTCCCTATTATAGTTGACAGGATTTGGGCTTCTAATAATTCTGGTATCAACACATTGAAATCCTTTATATTTTTTGTCTTGTCCAATCGCAAGGCATCTCTTTTTCTTGTTGGACTCGTTCATTTGGAAATACAAGGTCCCTTCAAGGTAACTGTTTACGTTATCTTCTGTCCATGACTGGCTTTTAACACTAATGATTTGTTACTACTGCATTGACCTCAAGGGCTTTCTCCCCTGTTATTTGTGTCGTGTTGGTGGAATAATGAGGCATGCTCATATTTGTTCTTGCACTGTCCTATTGCCAGAGTGTTATGGGGAGAACTAGTTTATCTCTTAGGGAATCTGTTGTCTTCCCTGTATCTCAGATGAAGTTCTATTCTTATCAAAACTTGGGTTTTCGATTAGAATGCCAGGATTTTTTCAAGAGATGCTGTGATGAACATTATTTGGTATATTTGGAGTAGAAGGAATTCCAGAATTTCGAGAACTATTTTAGGAGTTTCTCGTGATTTGTAGTATGGTGTTTCCTTCACTGGTGGAAACTTCGGCAGCTATAACTTCTTGTATATTTCCTTTGAGTTAATTAATCTGTTTTTCTTTTATCTGAGAATATAATGAGATAGTCTTCCCATTGAGTACCCTCCCTCCTGGCGTTATCATGTGATGGTGAGAATTTCTTCAGCTGCCGTTCAGGCTTCCGTTAGTTGAATCTTTTAGAACTGGTTTCTTGAACTCGCAGTAAGACAGCCGTGATAGAGAGATGTCTACTATAATTTCGTAAACCTGCAGTCCACATAACCATGTGATGGGGAGAGAGTTCTATTCAGTTATAATTAGCTGAATAGTTTTTTTACGATTTCACTAAATTATTTGTCCTTTTTCTTTCGTTCTCTCTTAATTTATCTACACCAGTTTATTTGGAAATTATTACATATATTCACCATCCCAATTAGTAAAACATATTTAGAACATATTAATGCAAACGAGGGTTCATTTCATTCTTGGTACTTCCTAATTCATCCCCTTTTTACTATTGCAGTCACTGCTCTGTGATCCGAATCCGAACTCACCAGCAAATTCTGAAGCAGCTCGGCTGTTTAGCGAAAACAAGCGCGAATATAACAGGAAGGTGCGTGAGATTGTCGAGCAGAGCTGGACAGCAGACTAAATAATCCCTGAGGATATGCTGTTGAAGATTGTCAACTACTTCGATAAGATTAATATTAATGATTTTCTCCGTCTGTTTCTCTGAAATGGGATCGATTGATGTAAGACAAACATTGTCAAGATCGTATACTATGGGTTGCTTTTAGGGATTGCAAGTGTCTTTATTTGGTATGCAAAGTTGCCTTCATTTGGCCGTGCATGTACATAATATCTTGTATTTGATTGTTCAAAAATGTATGGAACTCCGTCTTCATAAACCTTGTTATGAGCTATGCTGGATATTTTAATTTTCACAAATGTGTTTTTATTGTAACTTTAAAATGTTTGGACCTGTATTTTAAATTAAACTGGTCCTAGTCACAGGGTCGGTCCTATAATTTTCGTGGTTTGAGGCGAACTCCTAAAATTAGGTCCCCCAGAATCAACGTAAATGCAAAATTTAACAGTGTATAATGTAACATATTGTTAACTTAAATTGAATAGTAGAATAACAAGTAAATATAAATGATTTATATTATAAAGCAACAAAATTGACAAGAATTCAAACAATCAGTTAAATACTATTCGCCTCGCTGTTCAAACATATTTAAGAGGCATGGCGTATGAGTATATATCTAATGGCCAATAATTAGCCTAAAAGACAATT